GGGTGACCCTGGAGGACATTATGCTGAGTGAACTATCTCAGTCACAGAAGGACAAAGTCTGTATAGTGCCACTGTTGTAAAATGGGACAGACATTGGGGTTGGGGGAGACCGAGAAAAATGGGATAAATAATGTACACTGCATTGAAACAGATGAGGGAGAGAACTGTTTAAAAGGGATATATGATTAGGTATTATTGTCAGGACGAGTCCAGAGTGAAGGCTGCATAGTGGAATGGATTTGAGGGGGAGGGTTTGTAAAACAATGAAAGAATTTTTCTTTTACTTTTCAAAGAGAAGAGTGAACTGGGGGGAGGGATGGGCAGGGAGAAAAGTGCAACAATGAAGGAATGGAAATCCAAAGTCTCTGTAAATTTTCATTAAAATTAATAATTAAAAAAGTAAATTGAAGGGGGAGAAAAAAAAGACTGCAGCCTTGGCACCCCTGTGGCCCGTTCTGCTGTGTCCTGCAGGGTCACTACAAGTTGGAATGGACTTGATAGTACACGACAGAAGCGCTGTCCAGAGTACGTCTCCAGGCCTCTATGAGGGAGACAAGGATTGATTCCAGCCGATGGAATCCAGACATTGCCACCATCTGCTCGTCAATGGACGCCTGCCTATTGCTATGACATAGAACAGATCTCAGTGGAGATGTCAGACCAAAAGAGACCAGGAAGAAAGTCCTGGCAACCTGCTTCTAAAAACATCCATTAAAAACCCCTAGGGACCACAAGCGTCCAGTCCACAAAGGATCAAAGGGATGGGGCAGGACCAAGCAGTGTGTCGCCCTGATTCAATGAACATAATTGATTCTGAATTAATCTTGGAACCCTAGATGTGACTTGCTGAGGTTTGGAGTGATTATTCAAATGAGACAAAAGCCCTGAGAAAATACAAAAACTATTAGTTGGGGGGGACCCTTTGCTAATATTATCTGGGCCTCCCCAAAAATGTGCCAAGTGGGGTCCCTATTCTTCACCACCTGCATTGCTCAGTCCTTTTAGTCACAAAGGGCTTCTCAAGAAAATTTCTAGATGGCCACCTCATTCCAAGTCTCAAATGGACACTCAAAGTGTGCCCGTGGGGACAGAGCATGAGTCCCGCCTCCACGCAGCCCCATGGCCCCAGGACCAGCGTCTGAGCGGATGCGGCCTCTCCTCTAAGCTCTCCGCGTGGGAGGGGGCATCCTGTTTGCCTGCAGTGGCTCGGAGGCTGGTGCTTCAAAGGAGGGAAGAGCAGGGCCCATGGTGCTGGGGGAGCAGGCAGCGGAGGAGGGGCGAGCAGAGGTCACAGCAGCGGAAAGGAAAACG